ATTAAAAAAAAAGAATTTAAAAGCCCGACAAAATTTTTAGATTGTGTGGGGTTTAAAACAAGTATTAAATTTTAAATTCAAATTTTAAACCGCCCTATTTACAAAAGAAAAGAATTTGAAAAAAAAAAATGCATGTGCTTTCTATTTTTTTAACCCTTCGTAAAATACAAATATTCGGAGTAAGACTGGATGGCATGCCTCACCAACTCAACTTCCTGATTGACGAAGATCAAACCATAGGTCCAGATGGTAAAGGGACACACGGACCTGACGCTGTGCTGTTGATGGTAGACTGGACATTACAGAATCACTCTAATCAGACTCCTGCCTAAGTGTCGATACACTCGGATAATTGCCCTGGTAATTATTTTTATTTTTGTAGCAAAGACAACACTAAATAGTAATGTAGGAACACAATTTTCTTGTTTCTATACAGGCTGCCATAATGCATAGATCACTTACCTATCTAATTGTTATTATCAGATAAGTACCTTCAGTGAAGAAGATTTTTAATTTTTTACCTTATGACATAGTGACTGAAAATCAATGACCCCTAGGGCAAGGCCAATTTTGACCCCAGGGCTATAATTTGAACAATCTTGGTAGAGGTTTACCAGACAATGCCTTATGCAAAATATCTATGCTCTAGGCCTTTTGGGTCTTTACAAGAAGATTTTTTAAATTTATTCTTATAATTCCTTTTCCTTCACCCAAGGATCAATCCTGCCAAGTTTGGTTGAAATTGGACCAGTGGTTTTTCACAAGAAGATTTTTTAAGTTCACTATATAACACACAAACATACATACAAACACACACATACAGGTGAATCGCTATATGCCACCGCATCGCAGATGCTGCGGTGGCATTAAAAAACACACCAAAAACAAGAGGGCCATGATGGCCCCGAGTCTCTCACCAGAAACAACTGCTATTCAGAGTTGGAAATTATCCATTGTCAATATTTTCTGACATAGAATATGTTTAAACAATAACTTGAAGAAATGCCATGACCTGGGGCATTTAAGCTTTAGCTTAAAAGGCGCCAATCAAATTAATATCAGCAAACTTGATAAAAGACTACAAAATAATGCTAGTTTAGTTTGGTGGTTGGAAATGTTCAAAGGTTTTTATATTTTGGGCTAAAAAGGGCCCTAAAAGGGGCCAATCAAATTAATATGAGCAAACTTGATAAAAGCGTACCTAAGAATGCTACAGACAAAGTTTGGTGATCATCCATCAATTAGTTCTGTAGAAATAGACATCTAAAGGTATTTCTATTTTTAGCTTTAGCGGCCCCTAAAAGGGGCCAATCAAATTAATAAGATAAAAGACTACCCAAGAATGCTACAGACAAAATTTGGTGATCATTCATCAATTAGTTCTATAGAAGATGTTTAAAGGTTTTACTATTTTTAGCTCTAGAGACCCCTAAAAGGGGCCAATCAAATTAATATGAGCACAGTAGATATCAGACTACCCAAGAATGCTACACACAAAGTTTGTTGATCATCCATCAATTAGTTATGTAGAAGAAGACATTTCAAGGTTTTTCTATTTTTAGCCCTAGAGACCCCTAAAAGGGGCCATTCAAATAAATATAAGCAAATTTGATAAAAAAAAACTACATAAGAATGCTACAGACAAAGTTTGGTGATTATCCATCAATTAATTCTCTAGATATAGATGTTTAAAGGTTTTTCTATTTCTAGCTTTAGCGGCCCCTAAAAGGGGCCAATCAAATTAATATGACAAAACTTAATAAAAGACTACCCAAGAATGCTACAGACAAAGTTTGGTGATCATCCATCCATTAGTTCTGTAGAAGAAGATGTCTAAAGGCTTTTCTATTTTTAGCCCTAGAGACCCCTAAAAGGGGCCAATCAAATAAATATGAGCAAATTTGATAAAAGATTACCCAAGAATGCTACAGACAAAGTTTGGTGATCATCCATCAATTAGTTCTCTAGATATAGATGTTTAAAGGTATTTCTATTTTTAGCCCTAGAGACCCCTAAAAGGAGCCAATCAAACAAATATGAGCAAATTTGATAAAAGACTACCCAAGAATTCTACAGACAAAGTTTGGTGATCATCCATCAATTAGTTCTCCAGATATAGATGTTTAAAGGTTTTTTTATATTTTTAGCTCTGTTGACCCCTAAAAGGGGCCAATTGAAATGATATGAGCAAATTCAAGTGTGAATCACAAGGATGCTACAGACCAAATTTGAAGTAAATCTGCCCAGCGGTTTCAGAGAAGAAGACGATTGTTGACGCATGACGACGGACGACGGGCGCCAGAGTATCCCCCTTTGATACTACTAGGTCACCCTGAGCCTTCGGCTCTGGTGAGCTAAAAAACCAGAGGGCCATGATGGCCCTGAAATCGCTCACCTGTTTATAGGCAAGTATATCTTTTGTAGTTTCAGAGTTATGTCCCAGACAAAGTTCAAAGTGTGATAATTCCAAACTTAGTCAAGGCAGAGTTACTGTTCTTTTCACTGCACTTCTACTCAATGAGATCTATCTACCGACTTGCGATTGACACGTCGTCTCAATATGTTGATCATTTCTGTGAAATAGTTGTAAAATCCGACTTCAAATAACAAAGTTATGGGCTGGACACAATTTTGCTGCAAGGTCATGCTGTTACCTTGACCTTCAAGTTAGCGACCCAAATGTTGCAAGGGACACATCCTCTCAATATGGTGATCATTTCTGTGAAATAGTTGTAAAAACAGACTTCAAGTAATGAAAAATTTTGGGCCGGAAACAATTTTACTGCAAGGTCATACTGTGACCTTGACCTTCAAGGTAGTGACCCAAATATGTGCGCGACACATCGTCTCAATATGTTGATCATTTCTGTGAAATAGTTGTCAAATCCCACTTCAAATAAAGTTATGGGCCGGACACGATTTGCTTCAAGGTCATGCTGTGACCTTGACCTTCAAGGTAGTGACCCAAATGTTGCGCGCGACATGTCGTCTCAATATGGTGATCATTTCTCTGATATACAGTCAAACTTGTATTAAGCGACCGCGCAAAGGAAACACCCAAAACAGTCGCTTAATGAAACGGTCTCTTAAGACAAAGCATGACATAAAAGTCAAAATGTACAAATGACATCTTTCTTATGCGGTGGGAATGTTTTACAACTTCATTTTTATATAAATGTTGAATAATTTGTACGCTCGATAATCTAAATGGATGCCAATGTAAACAATAACTTTCAGATATTTATTGACAAAACAGTTTTGATCCATTATGTACATATTTGACATTTTTTCCAGAATTTTTTAACTTCTCCATTGTTTTTCCTTGTCTCCAACATGAAAACCCTTTCAGTAAAGGTGTTTTTCTGTTGTGCATTTTTTCATTCCAAATAAACAAACTTCATCTAATTTAATTGCTGATCAAGTTCAAGGTCAATTCAATGCAGGCTAAATGTCAACAAGCGAAGCGTATACACCACATCAGTATTGTTTATTCGATATTATTGGATAATACACGTCACGCCTATACTTAACTTCATTAGCTTACGCTAAAACAGTTTGGGAAATAGAGTTTTTCACACATTTATTTGTTGTGTTTTGATTGTTGACACTTGTGACATTACGAGGCGGCGTTCTCTAAAAACACAATTACTTGACAGGTAAAAGTGGTCGCTTAATGAAATGATTGCTCTCAATTAGGTGACTAATTACCGGTTGCTGGTCGCATTGAGCAAAAGTCGCTTAATACATTAAAAATATAGAGAGAAAATGATCGGGGGGAATTTAAAGTGGTCGTTTAAGACAAAAGTTGCTTAATACACGTGGTCGCATGGGCAAGTTAGACTGTAGTTGTAAAATCAGACTTCAAATAACGAAGTTAGGGGCCGGACATGATTTTGCTTCAAGGTCATGCTGTGATCTTGACCTTCAAGGTAGCGACCCAAATGTTGCGCGCAACACATCGTTTCAATATAGTGATCATTTCTGTGAAATAGTTGTAAAATCCGACTTCAAATAACAAAGTTATGGGCTGGATACGAATTTGGGACATACTTACAAACGGACAGACAACCCGAAATTTTTCGGGAAGCATAATAAGGAAAATCAATGACCCCCTGGGGTGGGGCAAATTTTTTCCCCAGGGCTTTTATTTGAACAAACTTGGTAGACACCCATTAGAAGATGTTTCACAATGTTAGGTTTTTTTAAAAGAAGATTTTTTAAGTTTTTACTATACACATATAGTTAAAACCAATGACACCCCTGGGGCGGGGCCAGTTTTGACCCCAGGGCTTTTATTTGAACAAACTTTGTAGACACTTACTAGAAGATGTTTCATGCTTAATATCTAAACTCTAGCTATTTGGGTTTTTTCAAAGAAGATTTTTAAGTTTTTGCTATACACATATAAGGAAAATCAATAACACCCGGGGCGGGGCCTATTTTGACTCCAGGGCTTGCTGCTTTTATTTGAACAAACTTCGTAGACACTCACTAGAAGATGTTTCATGCTTAATATCTAAACTCCAGCTATTTGGGTTTTTTCAAAGAAGATTTTTTAAGTTTTTGCTATATACATATAAGGAAAATCAAAGACCCCCTGGGGCGGGGCCAATTTTGACCAAAGGGCTTTTATTTGAACAAACTTGGTAGACACTCATTAGAAGATGTTTCATGCCAAATATCTAAGCTCTAGCTCTTAGGGTTTTTTAAAAGAAGATATTTAAAGTTTTTTCTTTCGGTTGCCATGGCAACCAGAGTTCTGCATGGAATTAAATTCTTTGAACAATTTTTAAAGGTGACCACCAAAGGAACATTCCTGTGAAGTTTGGATGAAATTGGCTTAGTGGTTTGTGAGGAGATGTCATTTAAAGTAAAAGTTTACGGACGGATGCCGGACGGACGCCGGACGAAAAGCGATCACAAAAGCTCATCTTGTCACTTTGTGACAGGTGAGCTAACAAAAAAACAAACAAAAAAAACTTAAACACAGAATGACACACTGAACACAGAATGAAACACATTACCTTTTGGCTGTTGCGGGACACCAAGAGGAACTATAATTTTGCGGACCAAGAATTCTGATCTAAGGCCGTATGGACCAATATCTTTCCTCTTCAGTAGTTCTGTTGTGGTAATTTCAGTTTCTGTTGATATTGTGTTCGTGCCACCAGCTGGAGGTTTCTGAGCCATATCATCCCATCTGATACATGTCCAAAATATCCTTAGATGTAAAGCTGCTGCTGCTAAAGATTTAATAGTTTGTAAACGATAGTTGAAGGCAGACTTGAACAGCGGCCTTGGACAAGGATAAGGCCAATTCACATTGGACATTTTACACTCATACTTAAATCCAGTCACTTCAATTTTCCCACCTTTTCTTGCTAATTTCCTGCCCTCCCACCTTTCTAGCACAAAAAGACTTTTCTTACCAGATGGTGTGACAAATTTATGGGCAGGAGGTAGAGAAGTTTTCTTTGCTGATTTTTTCTTCATACCACCTTTGGTGATTTTCGGCAAATGAATTTTATCTGTGATTTTTCTGACAGGGGGAATTTTGGCCTTAATATCTTCAACGGTCATTTTTTCAAGAGCCTGGCGAATAAATGCCTGAGCTTCAGAATAAGTCAGATTTCTTCCAGTTTTCTGAGCTATCAATTGAGCCAAATTACCTGGTATAGATATTGTGGTAGTTTTCCTAGCACTAGGAGATAGTAATCCAGTTTTCACAGTTACACCACTAGTTGAGGTGGGTTTTATCCCTTCCCCTTTTTCATAAGGCACATGAACAACTTTAGATGCATTTGAAGGTTTGTTTGCATTGTTACTATTAATGTTTTCAGCAGCAGTTTTGTTTGTATCATCTTTATCACCAATTACATCCACCTCTTCATCCTCTGTAACACTTTTGTTCAGATCATCTGCCTTATTTTCAGAATCTTTATCATCATCAACTTTCTCATCATCATCTTCATCAACCTCCATCTGTACCTCTCCATTATCATCTACCTCATCTAAATCATCATCATCCTCTTCTTGTTCAATTTCATAACGACATCTTACTGAGTAACATTGGCCACCTAGCACATCTCCTGCTGAACACAAGGGAGAATAGCAGCCATAAACAATACGTTGTGGTTTTACTGGCTCTGGTTTCTTTACTACTTCTGGTCGTGATAAGGCAATAATTTTCTTTTCAGGTGATGCAGACACTTCCTGTTTTTCTTGTTTTGCTGCTTCTAGTTTTAATTTCCATTGTAACTGCTGCTGAATACTTTCACGTTGCTTATTTTCTATTTCACTTAATTTTAACCTACGTTCTAGCAAGTTATCTAATCTAGAATAAGGCTTTGTCACTTTTGGATAATACGTGTGTTCTCTTACTGCCTTACTCACATCTATGAGATCAACATCACACTTCTTAGTCAACAATGAATATGCTTTCAAGTTAGCTTTCGAAAACTTTCCCTGAGCTACTCTTAATGGTTTTGTATCTTTTTTAGGAGATACATTTTCAATGTCAATATCCTTACTTTCTTCCTTTTCAATTTTCAATGAATTATCTTCAACCTTAACCACATCAGCTATCTCATCAACATCCATAGGTTCTTCCTTCACTTCAGTTTTTACTTCAGAATCGGGAACAGATTCTTGCTTAATGTCAGTTTCATCATTAACTATTGCAACAACCACTTCTTCAGTTTCAATGCTAACATTATCAACTACTTCTTTTATATTGACATCAGATTTGAACATGGCTTTGTCTGCTTTTTTATCTACCTCTTCAGTTTCCATTTTTTCTTCTTCATCAGTACCCTTCTCTTCTTCCTTAGGACTTTCTTCTTTAGATGTTTCATCAGTGGACTGCAGAGTTTCACCTTCAGAGTTGGAGTTTTCATCTAAACAATGTAAAGTATTCATCTTGAATCAACAGAATAGAAACAAAAACACTGGCTTAATCAATTATAGTAATGTAAAGCATGACAGCTCGCTCTAACAGAGCAACCATCTTGGAAATGAATAATGTACACTACATTCAGGGGAAAAGCTGTTTATAGGTAAAATTGTCTTAGGGTTATTCAGCATTTAATGTATATAGAATCTGCTCAATTATGACATAAATTGAAAATAGGCAACAACAACAAATGATGACTTTTATTTGCAATTTTTGTCATTGGTAAAGTAATCTACTTTAAAATTACACAGGGGTTGTAACTCATGGTTGGTTAAATCTAAAACTGATATCACAAAGTTCATATTTGTATCTGAAAAAGTGTATGTGTAAAAACATTACTGGTGACTATTGCTATGGGAGAACAACAGTTCATAAAGATGTGTACATATAAGAACAAGAGGACCCTGGATCACTTACCTGAGAAATAGGTCAAAAGGTCAAACTATAGCCCGTTTCACCCCAGACGCACAATTTGAAAACAAGGGACAGTTTAATCTGAACAATATTGTTTACTGTCACCAAAGAAATTTTTGTGTAAATTTACTTTAAAACTGAACCAGTGGTTTAGATGTTGTTGTTTTCTAATTTTAGCTGTGGCCGCCATTTTATTAAATAGTTCAACCTGTAACTAGTGAGAGGTGAGCTAATAAAAAGATGTCAGAAAAAGAGAAGGAAAACAAAAATTGACCTGGCAGGGGATTGAACTGTCTACTTCGATTCCTTTGGGCCGGGTTAATATTGAGCCTAGGGGTTTTATTTCACCAAACATGGTAAACATACACTAGAACATGTTTCATGCTAAATATCTAAGCTCTACCTCTTGGATTTTCATAAGAATTTTTAAGTTTTTACTATATACATGTATATATAAGGAAAATTAACAAGCATTTGATAGTATTGCGGGCAATACAGTAGTCCCCTACCGGTCCCTCAAAAAGTTCTTTAATTGTCATACACTCCTGTGTATTGCCATTTATAATGAATTTGAGGATGAAGTCTGTATTTGAAAATATCGACCACAAAACATAATAAAATAAGTTTGTTTATATCACAGTAATGTGTTAAGTTTCCATGCTTAGTAAGGAAATTATGTTTATACAACCTTGTCATATTATTACGATGTGGGATTTTAAAGTAAATCCTATAAGGAATAAGGAATGAAGAAGTTGGAGTGAAAATACCAGTTTCTCGAAAAAAATCTAAGTTCAAGGGGGACATAATTCTGGAAATAGTCTTGCTAGAGTATTTAACCTTCTCAAAAATGTCGAGTGATAATAAGAAACATATATATGAAGTTTGAAGTAGATACATTAGGAAATAAAGAAGTTATTTAAAAAAGACAACATTTTTCCCCTAAAAAATCTAAGTTCAAGGGAGGTAATATTAATATTTTTTGTGCTAGAGTTATAAACCTTGTCACATATGATGTGGTTGATGACCAGGAACTTATATTTAAAGTTTGAAGTAAACACCTTAAGAAATAAAAACATATAGTGAAAAAGCTGAAAAATTTAAATCAGAAATCTTGAAATTCAGGCTATTTGTTGCCATAGCAACCAGAATTTTCAACATAGGAAGAAAATAAAAAGATGTGCATAATCTCCAGACTGCCATCTACCCATATTTCAAGTTTCATAAAAATATTTTCAGTACTTTTTGAGTTATCACTGGATCCAGTTTATGTGTTAAATTTGCCATATTTTCAGACTATTTGTTGCCATAGCAACCAGAATTTTCAACATAGGAAGAAAAAAAAAAGACGTGCATAATCTCCATACTGCCATCTATCCATATATCAAGTTTCATAAAAATATTTTCAGTACTTTTTGCGTTATCGCGGGATCCAGTTTTGTGGACGGACGGACTGACGGACTGACAGACAGACAGACAGACAGACGGACAGACAGACAGACGGACAGACGGACGGAGGGTAAACCTAAAGTCCCCTCCGGTTAAACCGGTAGTAAACCGGTAGGGGACTAATTATCCCCTAGGGCTGGGCCAATTTTGACCATAGGGCTTTTATTTGAACAAACTTGGTAGACACCCACTAGAAGATGTTTCATGCAAATATCTTATCTATAGTGCCTTTGGATTTTCACAAGAAGTTTTCAAAATTTTTACTACATACATATAAGGAAAAACAATGACCCTTGGGGCCGGGCCAATTTTGACCCTAGGGTTTTCATTTGAACAAACTTGGTAGACATGCACTAAAATATGTTAATTGCCAAATATATAAGGTCAAGCTCTCTTAGATTTTCACAAGAAGACTAAGTTTTTACTATATACATATCAGGAAAATAAATGACCCTAGGGCATGTCAATTTTGACCCTACGGCATTTATTTGAACAAACTTGGTAGACATCCACTAGAAGATATATCATGCTAACTTTATAATTTATAGCGGTTTTTCGATTGCCACAAGAAGATTTTTTAAGATTTTAATATATGCATATAAGGAAAATCAATGACCCCCTGGGGTGGGGTCAATTTTGACCCAAGGGGTTTTATTTGGACAAACTTGGTAGACACCCATTAGAAGATGTTTCATGCTTAATATCTAAGCTCTTTGGGTTTTTGACCTTGAGCTTGAAGGTAGGACCATGGGTCTTTGACGCTACACATTGTCTTGATGTGGTAAACATTTATGCCTAGTTATTCTAAAATCTTTCGATGCATAACAAAGTAACAGTCCGGACACGATTGGGTGTACCTATTAACTCTCACTGTGATGTGAAACTTCAAAATGTTAGTGTGACCTTGACCTTTGAGGTAGGGACGTAATTCTTGGATGCAACATATTGCCTTGATGTGGTAGACATTTATGCCTAGTTATTTTAAAATTCTTCGAAGCATGACAAAGTTACAGACTAGACACGAATGTGTGTAACTATTAACACTAATTGTAATAATGTGAAACTTCAAAATGTTACAGTTACCTTGACCTTTGAGGTAGGGACGTGGTTCTTGGACGTGACACATCTCCTTGATATGGTGCTAAGCTATTTCAAAACCCTTCAATGTATGACAAAGTTACAGTCCAGACACAAATGCACTGGGGATGCACAGGCAGACAGACAGATGGACAAATAGACACACAGTGCGATTTTAATATGCCTCCCTTCCGGGACATAAAAACAAACAAACAAGAAATGTTGAACGACACATACTACATATGACCAATCAGTATGTGAAATATGAAGACTTTGTGATAAATAGTATTTAAGATAATAAGCGGAAACCATTCTGAAATTTAAGGCCCCTGTTACCTTGACCTTTGAACAAGTGATCCAAAAAGCAAAACAGGTCATCTACTGGTTATGACCAATCACTATGTGAAATATGAAGACTTTGTGATAAACAGTTTTCAAGATAATAAGCTGAAATCATACTACCATTCAATGACCCTGTGGCCTTGACCTTTGACCTGGTGACAACAAAATCAATATGGGATATCTAATAGTTATAACCAATCAATATGTGAAATATGAAGACTTTGTGATAAATAGTAACCAAGATAATTAGGGGAAACCATTCTGAAATTTAAGGCCCTGTAACCATGACCTTTGACCTAGTGACCCCAAAATCATAAGCCGTCATTTACTACTTATGACCAATCACTATAAGAAATATGAAGACTTTGGGATGCAGTTTTCAAGATAATCAGCGGAAACCATTTTGACATTTAAGGCCCCTGTGACCTTGACCTTTGACCTAGTGACCCCAACATCAATAGGGGTCATCTACTAGTTATGACCAATCAGTATATGAAATATTAAGACTTTGTGATAAATAGTTTTCAAGATAATCAGCAGAAACCGTGTGGTCTACCGTCGCACAGACTGACAGACAATTAAAATAGAAGTATTCTCCTGGACAAAAATTTAATGTTGGATGTATTGCATAGCTGTATTTAACTTTTACAATTATTTTTTTTTTCAATTAAGATACCTTTTTTTTGCAAAGTAACATAAACAAGAGGGCAATGATGGCCCTAGATCACTCCCCTAACCCATCAACCACATCAAAGCATGCCTTAGACAAGCATCCTGGCCAAGTTTGATGACAATTGCGTCAAAATGTGACCTCTAGTGAGTTAAAAAGGTTTTTCCATATTTGGGCAATGTGACCTAGTTTTTGACCGGAGACGACCCATCTTCAAACTTGACCTAGAAGTCATCAAAACAACCTGCCTGACCTAATCAGGAAATTTGGATCAAAACTGCAGCCACTAGTGTTAAAAGATTTTTCTATTTTTATCTCCCGTGACCTAGTTTTTGACTGGAAATGACTCATCTTCAAACTTGACCTAGAAATCATCAAAATAACCTTCCTGACAAATCTACAGTATACAATTTCATGGCTGTGCATCAAAGGACAAGACAGAAGGTCACTGTGTCAAAATCTAGGTCAGCTGATATCAAAGTTCAACTTTTCATCTAAAACTGTGCACATGGTCCAAATTTCATAGCTTAATTTTCTGTTAATTATGTTTAAATAATTACCTCCAAAAAGCTTAATTTTTCTGTTTTGAAGTTTTCTAGCTGCAGCTCTAAGTCCAACTGTCCACTGTGGAGTGGGATTGGACCTGCGTGTACAGGAGATCCATCCCCATCCATGACCACCTGTTACACGGTACTCCTCTCCTCTCTGCTTCCAAACCTAACAAAACACAAAGATTGAGTCTTTTATGCATACAATCCTATACTTTGTAAATAATCTATTGAATTTATTTGATTTGTTAACTCAGTAGTCAAGTGCTTGTTCTATCAAAGTTTAATCTGAAAAACAAGATTGCATTTGTGAAATAGAAATGTGTCCATAGGACAGGGTGCCCCACATTTCACTGTTTTGTCAATCTACTGCCTCTAAGTCAAATTCTTTGGGGTACAAGTGAGACAAGTTAAAAACTAAAAAATCTTTTAGTAAGTCAATGAAAAACTAGAAATGTGTCGTCACGCTACAGATGCCCCCCGCATGCAGCCAAAATTTCAGATGTTATACTATTTAGTTCCAAATTTGTTTGCACAAATTTTTTTTTTTCATTTAAAGTTCAAAGCCCTTAATACTATTCAATGTTAACACTAGACCTATCACTGAAGGTGATTAATACCCCCACCAGCATCTTTGACTTTTTGAAAAAAAAGTAGTCTGAAGAAAAATTTGAACACAAACTATCAACTGTGTACAAAGAAATATTTCAATTAATTGTAATCGCAACTGGGGTCTCGAAATAAGCTTGCTATACAACAAGTTTGATTACAATATCTCATTGCTAACTAGTTATTGTCCGGAAGCCATTTTTCTATTTTTAGTAACACTGTAACGGTGACCTTGACCCTAGGGGGTCCAAATGCAATACCAACCCAGGTCTTCATATAAGCTTCCTATACACCAAATAAGATTACAGTATCTCATTCCTAACTCTAGTTATTGTCCGAAAACCATTTTTCTATTTTTCGTAACGGTGACCTTGACCTTGACCCCAGGGAATCCAAATGCAATACCAACCAAAGTCTTCATATAAGCTTGCTATACGCCAAGTTTGATAACAATATCTCATTCCTAACTCTAGTTATTGTCCGGAAACCATTTTTCTATTTTTAGTAACACTGTAACGGTGACCTTGACACTAGGGGGTCCAAATGCATTACCAACCCAGGTCTTCATATAAGCTTCCTTTGCACCAAATTAGATTACAATATCTCATTCCTAACTCTAGTTATTGTCCGAAAACAATTTTCTATTTTTCCTAACGGTGACCTTGACCCGAGGGGGTCCAAATGAAATACCAACCCAGGCCTTCATATAAGCTTGCTTTACCCCAAGTTTGATATCCTACCTCTAGTTATTGTCCGGAAACCATTTTTCTATTTTTAGTAACAGTGACTTTGACCCCAGGGGGTCCAAATGCAATACCAACCCAGGTCTTCATATAAGCTTGCTATACACCAAGTTTGATTACAGTATCTCATTCCTAAGTCAAGTTATTGTCCGGAAACCATTTTTCTATTTTTAGTAACGGTGACCTTGACCTTGACCCAATAGGGCCCAAATGCAATACCAACCCAGGTCTTCATATAAGCTTGCTATACGCCAAGTTTGATAACAATACTTCATTCCTCACTCTAGTTATTGTCCAGAAACCATTTTTCTATTTTTAGTAATGGTGACCTTGACCCCAGGGGGTCCAAATGCAATACCAACCGGAGTTTTCACATAAGGTTGCTATATACCAAGTTTGATTACAATACCTCATTCCAAACTTTAGTTATCGTCCGGAAACCACGATGTGGGCCGACCGACAAGCCGACTCCTATATACCCCCCCCCCCCCAACTTTGTTTGTGGGGGTATAATAAACCATTTTTATACAAAGTTCAAGGCACTGAAACTATTCAGTGTTAACCTTTTGTAAATTGCATATTGCATATTTGTAGCCAAAATAATGGCTACATAGATTTCCACAAAAGTATGAGAGCTGAAACTGAAAATTCAAAATTTTTCAAACATTCAACAGTGATTAATCTAGAAATTCCTTACAATGCGTCGGATGACGCACATTTTTGAAAACGATGAGTCCTTTAGCAAAATCAATGAGTCATGTAGCAAAATGCATCTTAGCAGAATTTTTTTTAGTAGCAGCTCCTTTTAAGGCTTTATTTATATATTAATCATAGCATAAACAGTAATATTCTTTGAACTTGATAAATATTCAGGGCAATAACAGAGCCATAACTTTGTGTTAAATAGTAAAATCTGGAAATGCCAATGAGATGTATGCATACTACATAACTAATCAAGGGCCATAAATCTGAGTTATAAGTATCTGACTGGAACAAGGCGACTATATGCACATCTCCTCTTAGTATCCCATAAAGTTTCGTTGAATTTCCGCCAGTAGTTGCAGAGAAGTAGCGCGGAAACAAATATTTTTCTATATGCATACTGCATAACTAATCAAGGGCCATAACTCTGAGTTAAAGTGTCTGACCCGAACAAGCCGACGATATGCGCATCTCCTCTTGATATTGATGATTCCCATAAAGTTTCGTTGAATTCCAGCCAGTAGTTGCAGAGAAGTAGTGCGGAAACAATTTTTACTCTATATGCATACTACATAACTAATCAAGGGCCATAAATCTGAGTTAAAGGGTCTGACCGGAAAAAGCCGACGATATGCGCATCTCCTCTTGATATTGATGATTCCCATAAAGTTTCGTTGAATTCCAGCCAGTAGTTGCAGAGAACTACTCCGGAAACGATTTTTACTCCATATGCATATTGCATAACTAATCAAGGGCCATAACTCTGAGTTAAAGTGTCTGACCCAAACAAGCCGACGATATGCGCATCTCCTCTTGGTATTGAAGGTTCCTATAAAGTTTCGTTGAATTCCAGCCAGTAGTTGCAGAGAACTACTCCCGAAAAGATTTTTACTCTATATGCATACTACATAACTAATCAAGGGCCATAAATCTGAGTTAAAGGGTCTGACCGGAAAAAGCCGACGATATGCGCATCTCCTCTTGATATTGATGATTCCCATAAAGTTTCGTTGAATTCCAGCCAGTAGTTGCAGAGAACTACTCCGGAAACGATTTTTACTCCATATGCATATTGCATAATTAATCAAGGGCCATAACTCTGAGTTAAAGTGTCTGACCGAAACAAGCCGACGATATGCGCATCTCCTCTTGATATTGATGATTCCCATAAAGTTTCGTTGAATTCCAGCCAGTAGTTGCAGAGAACTACTCCGGAAACGAAATTCGGACGGACGGACAACGCCAAAACGATATCCCCCTCCCGATTCCATTGGCGGGGGGATAAAAAGAATCTACATGAAAAACCCCAGGTGCACAGCTTCACTGTGTTGTTGATCATCATTCCTGTAAGATGGCTCACACAAAACAGAACATTCTGGAATGGTCAGGGCAACTCTACAAATACTGAATAAATCCACAATCAAACCCCCAGGTGCACAACTACATATGCAACTTCTATTTCTATAAAAAAAATATTTTTGAGATATACATGACACAAGTTGAAAAATGCAAATTTTTACTAAGTCAAGGGCAATAACTCTACAAATACTGAATAAATCCATACGCACACACCCAGATGTACAACTACACATGCTGATGAACATTCATGTAAGTCAAGTACTTTTTGAGCTATGTGAGATACAAGTTAAAAATTGTAAGTCAAGGGCCACAACTCTGACAAAACAGAATAAATCCACAAGCAAGCTAAACCCCAGGTGCACAACTTCACATCCTGAGCAATATTCCTGTAAAGTTTCATGACCCTAAGTCAAATACTTTTTGAGCTTTGTGCAACACAAGTTAAAAATTGTAAATTTTAACTAAGTCAAGGGCCATAAATCTGACAAAACATAATAAATCCACAAGTGAAACCCCAAGTGCACAATTTTACATGCCGATCCACATTCCTGAAAATTTCATGGCCCAAGGTCGAATACTTTTTGAGCTACGTGCGACAAAATCTAGGTCAGCTGATATCAAAGTTCAATTTTACATCTAAAACTGTGCAGATGGTCCATTTCATAGCTGTACATCAAAAGACAAGCAGGCCCTTGGGCCCTGGGTCGCTCACCTAAGGCATGGGTGTATGCCTGTATTTAGAGTTTGTGAAGACAAACATTCTTAGTTTCAATTGAACTGGGTAAAAGGTGATCTCAGTTTTACAAAGGTTTCCCCAAGATCTGATCAGGTGACTTAGTTTCTGAACCTATATGACTTAGTTTCAAATCTGCACTTAGTCTTGTTGAGATATATATGTTGACAAATATCTTTTGGAATCGGGTTAAAAGCGTCAATAACATCGCAAAAATGTATGTCACAATATTTTGTGGCCAATGTGTAAAACTATAAGAGAATAACAAAGACTACAAGTAAATGAACAATTTTTTTATTGATACAAAGACTTGAAATTACACTGTTTAGTTGAATACAGTCTGAGTGACAAAGATATCTGAAAGATAGATCTGTTAAAAAGAAAAGAACATGGAGCTATAATGATTAACAAGAAATTTGGCAAAGCCACAAAACCAGGTTTTCAATTATATCCATTGTTTGTTCGTCTTGGAAACTAAATACAAGCAACATACAACATAACTTTATGCATAGAAACAGTACAACAAAATAAACAGACGACAGAACTTACTGTGTCACAAAAGCTCACCTTGTCACTCTGTGACAATCGATAAACACCCTTTTCATCCTAGAGACATTATTTGAACAATCTTTGTAGAGGACCACTAACAGATCATGTTACATACCAAAAATCAAGGTTCTACCCCTTGGGTATTTTGACAAGATTTTAAGATTTCCCTTTATAACTTTATATAAAACTGAGACTGAGGAGCCCCCTGGCAGGGCCCCTTTTGACACTAGCATCACCATTTGAACAATCTTTGTACTGGACTACCAGATGATGTTACATACCAAATATCAAAGCCGTAGGCCCTCTGGTTTTTGACAAGCAGATTTTTAATGTTAAATCAATAAGCCCCCTGGCAAGGCCCCTTTTCATCCTAGAGACATAATATGAACAATCTATGTAGAGGACCACTAGATCATGTTACATACCAATTATCAAAGCTCTAGCCTTGTGAATTTTGACAAGAAGATTTTCCCT